TCGCTGGAGAGCTCACTGCGGATGGTGTCACCGAGAAGGAGGGAGACGGAGCGACCACCCTGCTGGTTGAGGGTGACGTTGAGAGCGCGTGCGATGGCGTCCTTGCCGGAGTTTTGGTAACCTGTCAAGAAGACAGTGAAACCCTGTTGGCTGCGAGGAGGGTGTGATTCACGAAGGACGCGGACGACTTCGGGGTATGAGAACCATTCGGGGATCTCCTGGCCGGTTCGGAGGCGCTTGCGGAGCTCTGTTCACAGTGTTAGTTTCCAAACCCTAAATGAAGGAAATGCAATTGACGTACCAGTTCCGGAGATGTCGAGGGTCTTGATGCCCTGCTCAACCTCGTTCTTGGGCTTGTACTCGTCCGAGTCGGGAAGGTAGGTCATCTGGAGGAAGGGAACAACCTCGATGCCGAGCTCGTCCCTGTACTTCTCGACGGCGTCCTGGGCGTCGTATGGGCCGTAGAAGTCGACACCCTTGGAGTTCTTGCCTGGGCCAGCGTGGTCACGGCCGACAATGAAGTGGGTGGCACCATGGTTCTTGCGGATGATGGCGTGCCAGATGGCCTCACGGGGACCAGCCATGCGCATAGCCAGAGGCAGAAGAGCAAGGACAGCCATGCCGTTGGGGTAGCGGGGCATCAGCGCCTGGTAGACACGGACACGGGTGAAGTGGTCAATGTCACCGGGCTTGGTCAGGCCGACAACGGGGTGGATGAGGACGTTGGCCTGGCGGGCGCGGGCAGCGCGGACGGTGAGCTCACGGTGAGCGCGGTGCATGGGGTTCCTCGTCTGGAAAGCGACGACCTTGGACCAGCCAAGCTTGTCGAAGTGCAGACGCAGCTCCGCGGGGGTGTATCGGAGGCCGACATAGTCGTAGTGCTCCAGGCGGTCGATGGCCTCGAGCTTGCCGCCGACGTAGTACTCCTTGACCGTCTCGTAGAGGTACTTGATGGCGGGGTGTGCTACGTCGTTGTCCTTGTCGAAGACCTCGCGGGCCTCCTTCTCCTTGTCCGGCTGGTAGACATCGTCGACGGTGATGATGGCCAGGTTGCGGTCGTCGCGGAAGTCGCGCAGGGCGATGCGGGCGCCTTGCTTGACGCCGACCTCATCGATGGTCTGTTTCGAGATGTCGAGTGTGATGGGAATGGAGAAGAGGTTGCCGTCGGCGAGACGGTTGTCGGACACTACGCCGTCGTAGTCCTTCTGGTTCATGAAACCTGCATCATGCTGTCAGGGGCCGTGCTGCTGCAAACATCGCAAACACGAGGGGCGCCTTCGCTGCCCCTCGCCTAGCGCTGCGGGATGACGACTTACCCTCCAGAGGTGAAAAACCTCCGTTCAGGATGAGCTCCAAGTCGCAGAGCTGCCTCTCGGACAGAACAATAGCCGGAAGCTTCTCAGCCTCTTCGAACAGTTCCTTGCGTCGGGGCGCATCGCGTGCGATCAGGTCCTTGAGGACGCCGCCTGTTGTCCCCTCCGTCAGCATTCGTGACCAACTCCGGCCACTCTGTTGATCAACTTACCATGGGGTGCGTTCGCCATGTCTAAAGAATATGTGAGGAATATAGAATCCGGTGGTGGATCTGGTCAGGTAGTTCGGCGAAGACTTGATGTCGTTCCTGACTATACAAGACTGGCTTCGCGAAGGAGGTTTTGGGTCACTCAGACAGAAAGATGCGCGACTAAGGACTACAAGGCGGGACGGGTGGAAAGGGCTTTTTATTCCCCGGGTTCTACGGACACTTCAGGCGCCATGTCCCCGATTGTTGACCATAGGCTTCTCTGGATTTTCTCTGCTTGCAGAGACTAGGGCACAAAGCGGGTTGTTGTATGGGTCGGCAGATCTTGGAAGCGATTGCGCAATTGCACGCGATAGTTAGAGCCTGTCTCACCCGGCTTTTCGTTGGGCGACGCGACCACAGTGACGTGAGCGGAGCGGAGAAGGAGCACCTTGTCCTGCAGTTTGTGTTGCGCTTTAGCGATTTTCAGGAACACCTCACGTATATGACAGGTCTAGCGCAATGCTGGAAATTCGTTTGATTCATGCCGGAGCTTCATTGGCTCCTGCGTCGGTGGTATCTCGGCCCCGTATATACATAATCGGATGCGACTGCCGCAAACCCCATTCTTTCGTGACCCAAACCCCATGCTATGCCCTGTCCCATAAATAACCCAAACGCCCATGCTAATGCGGTACAACAAGTAGGAATCAAGACATCCTACATCACCCTAAACGTTCAAAGAGACTTGTTGCAGCTTGTTGGCTAGGTCCTCGTTTTGCTGCTTCATCGCCTGCTCTTGGAGGAACTGAGCATATCGTGACTTGGGGTTGTGGATGCCGCACTCGGACTTGTTCTTGCCCTTCCAACGTCCTGCTCGCTCGTCCTCTCCGGCAGCTACTGGCTGCGTAGAGTGCCAGTCACCAACACTCTTGTAACCCTGGTTGAGAAGGTCGTTGTATGGGACGTCGTTGGCGTCGACGTATTCCTTGACCTGGGCGAAGTTCCAGTTGGCGAGAGGGTTGATCTTGATGAGGCCGGCCTCGTCGACCTCGATGATGTCCAGATCTCCACGCTTGCCACCTTGGCTGCGTCGGCGACCAGTCAAGACAGCCTTGACCTGAAGTTCAGAGTAGGCACGCTCAGCAGGCTCCACCTTGGCAACGTAGTCGTAAAGTTCGTCATTGGTGTCCCACAGCTTGTCGCCATGCTTGGTAGTAAAGTCGTTGACGTTGTCGCAACCAGCAGGCTTATAGACGTGTACCGGTGTTCCGTATCGCCTCCTTACCCGGTCAACAAGGGCATAGGTTTCGTCGAAGTGGTAGAGAGTGTCTAGGAAGATCAGGTCGATGTTGTGCTTCAAAGGTCCATCGAGCTTCGAAAGCATATCCACTGTGACCAGGCCAGTAAGACCAAAGGCGGTGGTCTGGAATAGTCCAGGCAGAGATGTAATGCACCATCGGAGGATGTCTACTCCAAGTTAGTTTAGGGAACTTTCAGGAGTAAAGTGCCATCACGTACCTTGAGGCTCAAGCTTCTGGAGCTGGGCGTTGATAAATTTCAAATGAGGCTTCGTGAAGTAGATCTCAGGTAGGCTCTCCTGACTGGATTCGGCTGAAGCATAGCCAGACTCCTCGCGGAGTGTAGGCTGCTTGTAGGCGTCAACCTTTGCGAACAATGGTGACGACATCTTCAAGATGGTGTGGCGGAAGTTTGGGGTATGGCAGGCACGTGCGGAGAAGCCAGAAGGAGTATGTCTTTGTGGGTTGGTGTCTAAATGGAGGCTTCCCAGGAGAAACTACTATTATCAATCGTTTGAGTCTGGAGGTGGGAAGAGGGAGAGCGACCACGGCCTGGAGTATATATTGGGCGCCGCCATCGGGATCGCTTTGTAACCATCTCCGCAAGGTGCGATAGCTGGGGGTGAAGACGTGCGATCACGCAATTCGCGCTAGTACATGGTGGAGCAAAACTCTTCCTCCCAGCCTTATGTAAGGCAGTCTCGCCAATCATTCGGCGGCAGTAGACGTTTTGCTACTTCTGAGGCTCGGACGACGTCTATGCTCATGCACTCCGCGGCTGTGCGTTGGTTGGAAATCGCCCGATGGTTTGAGGTTTTGTCATCAACGTCATCCCGTGGACGATTACCGAACAATGCGAATGGCTGAAGTCATGGTGATCCGGCTCTGGCTGACGGACTAGACGGACGGACGGACTGCCTAATCATGGGCTGAGGAATGCCATGTCGTCTCATCTTGACTTTCTCTTGATGTTTGCCTCTGCTGACAATATGGAGTTGGTGGAGTGCCCCGGCCCATCGGCAAGCGCCGGGCGATCGCGTCCGGGGCCTCGCCCAGAAGACTTGTAACACGCATCAGGATTCTCTGTAAAACCATCGGTTAGTGTGAGTCGTTGTGGAACGTCAGGCATATTTACCTATAGCTGTCCATGCTTGAGGCTGAACAATTTTTCTAGCCTCCTGCACGACTCGGTGCACCTTATACTCGTGGGGCGCGAGATCCGTCGTCCTGATTTCCGCATCTGCAACAAGCATGTTGCTTTTGGTGGGCAATCATGTCGCGCGATTCCCGCCTGGGCGCTTCGTGATAATTTTATGTCGTGTTGTCGGTGCTGTTGTTGTCGTGAATGGTGGCGGATGTCATCGGCGGGGTCGAAGGTCGTCTGTCGCACTAAATCGCCGCAGCTAACCGGCATGGTCTACAACTTTATATCAATTGGATGGAGTTTATTACCGCAATCAACGAATTACCTCATACAAGGAAAAAACTAAATAGGTCTAGAGCCTACATCAACACTAAGTCATCTATCTTGTAGGCTTTTAAGTTAATGTAGGCTGCAGGCCTGTTCAGTTTTTTTCTTGGTTGGCGTGGAATCGTTCTTGATTTTTGTGCAAGCACCATGTCCGAATTCAAGGGTCTACTCCCATGGATGCGCGAAGATTGAGAACGTACGCCGAAACCATGCGATTTGGTAGCAACGATTTACTGGTGAGCTTCAACACTGTCGCGCAATCTCGGGAAGGGTGCACAACTGCAGCTGCTGAAGGTGTAGGTGGAGTACATGACCGAAGAATCCCATGGAGAGAAGGTGCGAATTGCACAGAGAAGTAGTCGAGAGCTTCGAGGATGACCGAAGAGTTGTGGTACATTGAGCGAAGCAGCTGGGTGGCGGATAGATCAACACTCATAACATCCCAAGCAACGTTAGCAACCGTCTCGTACTCTGAGGCCGCCATGATGAATGCGAGAAGGGTGAGAGGGTATGAGAAGGCAGAAAGAACGAAGCGGGGTTGAGATGTGTCAGACATACCTGAGAACGGCAGTGACGACTTCGTCGTTGCCAAACAGACGTTGTGGAAGGCGCACACCAGTCGAGGCAGTCTCGACCAAGCTCCACATTTGATACGTTCATTGGAGCACAAAACAGTCACTATTTGGTTATCGAGGCAGATTATGGAGAGGGGAAGTCTGTAATCACTCTACTCTTCCATACCATCCAACACGGCAATCTTCCCTCTCCACAACTCCTTCGCATTCCCCCAAAACACCCTCTCCTTCTCCTCAAACCTCAATTCCCCCGCCCAAGCCAACCCATCAATATTAGCATCCACATCCCAAAAGCCGATGCCATACGGATAATCCGTGCCAAACACCATCTGACTAACTGGAATACCCATTCCTTCCGTCAGCCCTTTGACCTGATTTGGCCAAACTGGACCTGCACTGTCGTACCAAAAGCGCGTTTTGTAGGCTTCCCTTGCTGCGGTCGAGATGTTGGGGAAGCCGAGAAGGAAACGTTCGGAGATATCGGGGAAAGCGCCTGCGCCGTGGGAGATGCGGAAATGGAGGGACGGGAACTTGAGGAATGTGGATGAGGCTGTTAGACTCGAGATGGCGCGCGCGGTTTCGAAGTAGAACTCTCCGAGACCGGAGCGAAGGGGTGCTGTGGCATATTGTCAGCTCGCTCTCTTGGTCATTCGCGAGCCCGAGTTTGGGATAAGAGAACTCACATGGTCGAGAGTTTATCAATCGGCCATCGTCGAGCTTGATGATGGGCTCCGTTGGATGCACAAAGACCACCTCCCTCCCATCGCCTCCCATCTTTGCGGATCTCTCTTGCAGGTACTCCCACAATGGATCAAAAGTCTCGTCTCCCGGGTACATCCCCTCGTGGTTTGTAAGCACACCGACACCCACTGGCTGTTTCCCCACCATTCCAAACACGCGCTTCAATTCCGTAATCGATTCTTCCACATGGGGTAACGGCATAATGGCCAACCAACTAAATCTCTCTGGATAGATCCTGCAAAGTTCCGCTGTGAAGGAGTTGAGTAAACGCGCAAGGGCAACCGTCTTCTTCTTTCTCAGCACTTCGTCTCTTTCAGTCAAGAAGGCGTTAGCCTGGGGTGTGGAGACGCAGAGTACAGAGTGAGCAATGTGGTGTTCACTCATGAATTTGAGGTGGGATGATACGTTCCAAGACGGCGTTGCGCGGCCTGCAGCATTCAGTTCGAGGGCTCGAAACCAGTCTGGAATGGGGCTATGAGATTTGTCAGTACATGGGCACACATACGTGCATCTTTGGCACTGTGGTTTGGAGCATTTGAGCTTACTGTGTATGCGTATCAACCCTCTTTGAGGTTGAGAAGTCAAATTCCTTCACATCAATCATGCTACTTGCTAGCGAAGCGATGCTCGCAATAGCTTCTTTGGCAAAAGGCAATACTGTCAGGTCAATCCCATCTACGTATGCTTCGTACTGTATCTGCATCCAGAGTTTGTTTTCGTCATGTTCTGTACCATTAGAGGGCGTTGGGTACGGTTTGCCGTAGGGATACGCCTTCGTCACGTTAGTGTGTCTTGTTCCGTGACTGTATTGGAGACAAGACAGGTATTCTTTCACTTTGAAGCACTCACCATTCTTTCGCTAGACGACATTCTGATATGAGGGAAGATGGTGACGATGCTTGCAGCTGTGGTTAGAGTTGAGATGTAGACTACTCCACATGTCAGTAAAGATAAGGAAGGGATTCGCATGTTTGACAGCTGTAGCTCACTCACAGTCTCGCAAGCACGAAGCGAAATATGGTTCATGTATTCTTGTAGAGTGAACTAATCGTTGTTGTTGTTGCTGTTGGCCCAGTGAGTTAGCTGCAGGTACTTAGCATGCGCATGTGCGGGGAGCCGCCACTTGCGGAAGTCGCACCTGCCTTGTCACTTCCTACCTGTAAGCTGCACGTTTTCCAACTGCACTCATTACTAGAGACATTAGCTTACCAGCTTCAATGACATTTCGGACTTGTTCACGCACAAGACAGACGTCACCAAGCGGACGCGCATACATCCGGAACCTTACACACGTACATCTAAGAAAAGCACTTCCGTTCCACAACCTATGTCTAGCTACCTTACTTTTCTCAATCATGCAACCTCGGCAGTAGTAACAGCACTCTGATACTTGAGGTCCAACTGCGGCGCCTCCACACCCTTCCCAGGGATATCACCAAGCCCCGCGGGCTCCACATAGTCTTCTTCCTTGTACCCATTAATCTTCAGCCTCAACTTCCTACTCTCGGCGTAAACTACCCTGCGCATTCGGTTGGTGCTTCCAAGCGGTTGATGCTCCTTCAATCCATGCCAGCTGTTCACCGTGATGCGATCATCCCACCACGTCCTAAACTCAGGTAGCCACGAGTCCTGCGGCGGGAACTCAATGGTAGCGATTTGTTCAAACGGATACTTTTTGGGATCCCATTCGATACCAATGTCGTCGACGGGCTGTTCGGTGAGGTCCTGCAAGAGTTGCGCGCAGAAGCTGTAGGTTATGGTGTTGTTGAGGTGGTGTGTGCGGAGGGTCTGCGAGAGGATATTGATGGGGTCCGAGTCTTTGACTTCGGTGTTCTCAAGGTCCTTTTGGAACTTGCTATTGGGGAAGACGCCGTATTTGGCTACGTAAGCTCCGTGGCGGTAGGCTGATTGTGAGTACTCGGGCATGGCAACCATGTGTTGTTTCGGCAGTTGTCCACCGAGTGTTGCGACGTCGGCATCAACGCGTTTGCTCTGCTCGTCTGCAAAGGTAGGCAAGTCATTCCAGTTTCGCTCCAGCGCGTCTGCAATATCGTATGTGGTCTGGGGATCACGCAGCTCCAATACCGGGTAGTTGTTGAAGGTCCAGTCTTGCGTCTTCTTATCTTCTCCCCAGAGCTTCTCTCCCTCGATACCAAAGACCTTCATGCCAATGCCGCGTGGGGCTGCAAGGTTGTCGGGCAGGATCTTGGGCGTTAGAGACGAGTACCGCATGATTACATCGTAGGTGCCAGGTTTCGCGAACATTCCTTGAGCTAGATGTTTAGGTAGGTTGTCGTGCACGGTGAACTTGCCCATAACGCACTGCTCATGTTATCAGTAACGTCCATCTCGAGAAGCCTGAGGAACTACTTACACCCTGAGTCTTCAAATGCGTGCCCCTCAAACAATGCATGTGCTCATTAAAGTTCATCATCTGAAACCGATTGAACTGAGCGGAAACCTGCTTAATCTTCTCTTGCTCATTGTCCGGAATGTTCTCAACACCTGGTGCATCCCATTTGATGTATTCACCAGTAGCCTTCTTGTCTTGTCCACCAGCTTTAACGGTGCCACTGGGTACTTTGCCGTTGTGGATGTTTTGAATTCGGTGATACCCCATGGGGCATGTTTCGATCTTGGTTCCACTCATACTGATGAATTGTTGGTTGTGTGAACTCTTTGTTCCGCCGCATGCTGCTACATGGACGGCGGCCTTCTTAAGGCACCAACACAGTCCCCGTGGTCACCCCGCAACTGCATCTAGCTTCCGCCTCGCCGACATCTGCTCTTCTCCATGCTTCAGTCTGAGCGGGATGGCTCGAGAGCATGCGGGGTAGCGCGTCAATGATTCCAGTTCTTCGATGTGTGGGCGTGCGATGGATGGTCGGAAGGCGCTCCGGAAGACCCTCTCCCGTCTGCGTCGTCGATCTAGTCCGCCGCACCTGACCAATGGTTGAAACTGAATTGAAGATCAGGTCTCGAACGCATCTTTCCAGCCCATGATTTGGAAGCGTCATGATCTGTCTCGAGCGAATCGAACTACTTCTGCAAGGCGCTTTCTGCGAACACGAAACACTAGAAGCGCGGACGCTTGTAAGCACTCGCTGTCAAGCGTCCGTTGCTGTACGCAGGTTTACTTTTTGCATACCCAGGTGTCTAGTCCTTATAGACTAGAGCAATCGCAAAGCAAGTAGCGCGTAATCTTTCACCAGCTACCACATCCTCCTCCCCAAACCCCCAAATCCCTCCTGCAGCACCTTCCTCCCAGCCAACTCATTCGCAAACTCCAGTTTCCTTTGCAACCCCCACTCCTCATGCTCATTAACCGCAAAAAGCATCCCCGCAATAAAAGTATCCCCAGCACCAATCGTATCCACAACCCTTGCCCCATCCTCCCCATCTGCCTGCCACGCCTCGACATCCGCCCAAACCTCCTCAACACCCTTTTCGACCGCCGTAGCACCTCCAGAACCCCATGCGCAACACAGTAGAGCCCCATCTCTCGTTTCCCTCCGTCTGGCTTCAAGAAAGCTTCTCGCGTCCACGTACCCATTCTTCACCGCCCACAATTTCGAGTAAAACACGACATCTGCGTACTGCGCCACCTCAGCCATGCCCGTCCGCTCAGGTTTCTCGCACTCGACGCTGATCTTGAAATGAGGGTATGTTTCGCGGAGGAAGCGAACAAACTGCAGTGTGATCTCTGGGACACGGCCTTCGAAATGGAACCACGCTTTCTCCCATGTTTGTCCTTGTTCTGTAGTGAATTTGCGGACTTGGTGGATGAATTCTTCGGCTTGCATCTCGGGGAGCTGGTTGATGCTGACGATTGTGCGTGAACGCTTCTCTTCGCTTTGGATGATGTAGCTTGATGCGGCTTCTTGGTGTTGTTCGCGGAAAAGGCTCAAGTCGGATATGTTTACCCCAGGAAGTGATGTAGATATGAACTGAGAAGCTGCGGATTGCTCCTCAGGAAGTACAGCCAGTAGATTCAGACGCGTGGGACTGAGACGCGCTCCTTCAGGGTCGTGTTGTTGCAGCTGCGATAACACTTCTAGACTATTTGCCGTATTTCCTCCTCTTCTTCGCGTGAGAGCTTTTGCGCGTAGTTTCTCATCTTCTATGGGGAAGTGTGGGACTCTGAACACTCGAAATCTAGTAAGCTTTTCGTTCTTGGGTTTGTTGCAGAGCGTTGGTACATACGTCAATATTGTGTCGATGTAAACGGCACCAACGCATACAACATGGTTCTCGGTACCTTCGGACATGTTTCAACGCGTGAAGCGGTATGCGCAAATGACCGTGGTGTTGGCGACAGGTGGAGAAGATTCAAATGTGATAAGTTTTATAATGTGGAGCTGGAGTGTTGGAGGTTACGTCAAGCCCTGGAGTGTCGCGTGCCCTTCCAACGCGTTGGCGCGCCGTCACATGTCCGTCGAACGAAAAACACAACCTTAAACAGTGTTACTAGATCACCTTATAAAAGGGAAAAACAAGATAACTAGGAGCCTACGTCGCTGTTAGGCTACTAACTTCGCAAGCTTTTATCTTAATATAGGCTCTAGGGTGTTTAGCTTTTCCTTTGAATAGGGTAAGATAGTTGGTTAGCCAAGAAATTCGTTTTTAAGGGATGTGAGCCCAAAAAATCAAGTGATATTCAGAATCTTCTACACTACCACCATCTTACCTCTGGCTATCCAGGCCTTGCAGCCCCATAGCCTCTTTGGTAGCATCCGTTTTCTCGGCCTCACCCTTCTCCCTAAGTGCTACCTTCTCTACCTCATCGAAAGCCTTGAGTGCATCGCCATACTGTTCGAAAACACCCTTCCTATAGCCTTCACAGATCTTCTTAACAAAGCCCTCCTCATTCCACCGCACCTCAAGGAAATCTTCAAACTTCTCCTGTGGAGACGAACGTTGTACGCCCCAGGCAGCTTTGTATGCGGCTCCGAGAGCGCAAGCGTTTCCTCCAATCTCAAGCTTGTATACACCGTCAGAGCCACCAAGAACTTGACCGGCAAGTTCGGCGATGGCGGGGTTCACGGCACCACCGCCAACCATGTAAATTCTGCGGGGTTGCGCAGGGAGGGAGCCCTGGGGTTCGACAAGGGACTGAGAGCGCAATCTCAACGACAGGAACTGCGATTCGAGGATTGCACGGGCGTCGGCTTGAGGAACGGGCCAAGATTTGTCCTCCGTCTTGCCTTGGGCAGCTTCTGGTGCTATGGGCGAGAGCTGATTATCTTTGGAAAGGAATCGCCATGTTCCTGCCTTGACGTTTGGTACAATTTCTGGTCGGGGGAAGAAGAGACCTAGACGCATAGGGTCGGATGGTTGGGCTTGGCCAAGCGCAGGAGTTGTGAGGGCTGTCTCATTGAACTTGTCCCAGGACTTGTCGGATGAGCCTGAGGCTTTGTTGATGGCGTCGCGGATGTGCTCGCGTGCTAGACCACCATTCTTGTAGCAGAGCATGAACATGTAGAGGCCTGCTGTAGTCGGGTGGTTCATGAAGTGGTATGCTGGGTCGGGCCTATACTGGGGTGTAGACATAAGGAATGTTGTTGAGGTCCCTAGCGAGACGATGGCGTCCGACGCGCGTAGAGGAAGGGCTAGGATGGTCGATGGGTTGTCACCGGTGAACGCGATGACCTGAGCCGACGATGGGAACCCGTAGCGCTTGCTGAAGTATGGTGAGACGGTACCGAAGCTTGAGCCACCATCTTCCGGGACGCTTCCGAGCTTCTTCTTGAGGTCCTCGACACCGTCACTGCCCCCAGCTGCAAGCGCAAGAAGATCCTCATGCCAGCGACCATTCTTGATATCCCACAGGTTGGCTCCGCATACGTCTCCGATATCGATGGGGGCGACTTTACCGAGAAAGACGGAGGCAAGGAAGGAGGATACGAGGGAGATGCGAGCGGTCGCTTTGTAGGCTTCGGGGTACTTGTCGTGGAAGCGAAGGATCTGAGGGCCACTGAAGCGCTGTCATGGTGTTAGCATTGATAAAGACTGGGAGGGTGTTGGCAACTTACGTGATGAGCACTGCTTCCAGTAGCTAGGGCCAGGTTCCTCGGTTCTTGCAGTGTCGCATCAAAAGCTTCGCACTGCTTCTGTGTACTTGCGTCCTGCCAGTTTGGACTGAAGGGGTGGCTGAAGGCACCCTTCCTCTCGCCCTTGGCACCGCCTTCCAGCTGCTCGAGCAGTGTCTTTCCAGCATCCATACTGCCAAGTAGTGTCTCTGCATCGTTGCTCCAGAACACGGTACCATGTTGCATACCCGCACCCGAGATACCCTGGATCTTGGAGAAGTCGGCACCCTGCTCCTTCAATCGCTGCAGGACAAGATCAATGGCTTCGAGCCACAGGGCGACGGGCGCGAAAACCTCGCCCTCAGAAGGGTTTGTGAGGACACCCTTCTCAATGCCATATTTGGAGAGATCGGCATCGAAATCGACTTTGGCTTCGTGGATAAGTTTGAGATCGGAACCGACGATGATACCTAGAACACGGCAGCGTCAGTCCAAGCTGGAAGACCAGATGGTGGGGTAGCTCTAGCGGGGTATTCGCACCTTTGAGTTGCTGAGTGCTCAAATCGAAGCCCAAGAACTGATCAGCCATGGTCGAAGTGTGTCAGTGCCGTTTCGAGCTGTGAGGGTAATGTTAGGGTGTTATGTTGACGAGACATGGCTAGAATAAGCAGACCATATCTCGTAGTGTTAGAGGTCCCTGCCTCACATCCACGATACGGCTACGGCACACTTACGCAAGACCCACATTGACGGACGCGCTACATCACAGGCAATTTTGCCGGCGGTGCCTGCAGAAGCGCCAGTGTTTTGGCGCGGTATCATTGGATGGCGGATAAATTCGTGCCGAGACATCGTGAGTACAGCTGTGACTTTTTGGAGTTGCATCTCGGCCAAACGCCGATGTCAGCTAGGGAATCTCGTTAGCGTGGGGAAGTACGAGTCTAGAGCGTGGGCCGGGGTTGAATTCAGGTGATGGATATTCAGAATATATACAAGTGTCCGATGTCTCGTATATGCCGCCGGGTAGTTGCATTGCTCAACTCCAGAACGCCCAGCTATGTTTGTCTATAGGTGTACACCAATCATTTCCTTCGCCTTGCGGTGCCATCGGTAGTTTCGTGATCGTGATCGTGATCGTGATCGTGGTCGTGGTCGTGGTCATGTTCTGCCTCGGATTTTTGGCTCGCCGCCGCAGCAGAGTCGCCAGGGATGAACTCGTCGAGAAAGTCTGGTGCTTGCGCCGAGTTGGTTACAAAGCGCACGCGCACCTTCTTCACGCCGCGCACGTTGACACCAACGCGGTCCCGGATTGCATTCTCGACGTCGCGTGTCTGGTCAACAGTCCAGGTGCCAGAGACGCCAATCTCAATATCCATGAGGTAGTTCTGGCCAGCTTTCACACCCTGAATCGCTCGCACATTGACTGGCTCTGATGCGGTAGTAACATCCTTGACAGCGTCAGTCGCTGCTTTCCGCACGTTGTCCTTCATCTCCTGGTCTACGCCGACGTCTGCCAGTTCGAGTAGCGCTTGCTTAGTGTTTCCCCAACCAGCTTGGACAACCATGAGCGAGATGACGAGCCCACCGATAGGGTCTAACCACTTTGCATTGTTGAGAACGTTGGAGCCGGCGATGAGGAGGAGAGCGACGAAGGCAGTAAGGGAGTCGACGCGGTGGTGGTAGGCATTGGAGGCGAGGACCGTCGATTTGCGCTCTTTGGCGATCTTGAGGGCTGGAGTGATTGTCAGCGGGCACTTGCTACGTTATCATGGGTGTCCTTACTCGCTCTGTAGAGCCATTCCTTGATGACAATTGAGCCAGCAGCAAGCCATATAGCATTGATGTTGGGGCCCAAGTCGTCGATGCCGTGGTGGTGGTGGTGTGGTATAAGCCCCCATTGCTCCGCTACCTCGGCGGCTTCGGGGAAGAACTGCTTGCAGAGGGCAAGCAGCGCGGTCCAGCCCATGAAGAAACCGCCTGCGAGCAAGATGCCACTGACACCGAGCGAGCCCAGACTCTCCACCTTTCCATACCCGCTGGGGAAGCGGTCTGTAGGGGGCTTGAGGGACCAGCCGACGGTTGCCAGCGTCATGATGTCGCTCACGAGGTCGGTGAGGCTGTGGATGGCGTCGGCGATGAGTGCTGGCAGGCGTTAGTAGACGTTCGTATCAACGCGCCTAGCTATCTCACCCTGACTATTGAAGACGTAGCCTCCGAAGCCCTTGCTGACAGCCATGCCCAGGTTGACGTAGAGGCCAATCTTGGTAATGCGCACGCCGGCGTCATTCTTGTTCTTGGACAAGAGGAAGGTGTTGTCGTGGTTATGGTGGTGATGACCGGCGTGACCTCTTTTCTGCGTGGCGCCCGTCATGGTGGAAGGGGAAAAGAGTGGTTTGCGATGGACGGTCGTCGACCAGTTGCGGAGAGGCGCTGTATGCGACGGGATGGCGAGGTACTGGGCACCTTTGGTCGTCGTCTGCGTGCACAGGACGCGCAATTTGGGGCGGCAGGTAGGAGGGTTGTAGGCGTGACGTGATAGGACGTGTCGTCGCACCGAGGGTTGCGTAGAGGAGTCGTGGAGTGAGACGCGTGCACGCTGGCTAAACTGGACACGCAGGCCATGTCCATTGCTGCAGGCGGTGCGCAGTAACATGGGATGTGGTGGCAGCCGTTGCGCCTCTCAGTACTGCGGGATGCCTCAATGCCACTCGCTGCGAATACTTCCAAGACAATTTGGAGCCTCTTTCGCGGTTGCTATCGGCCCTCGAGCCTGGCCTCTCATGGCGCCTTTTGCGTCAACACACGGCAATTGTGGGGGCGCCACCATCCGTCCCACTCACGCAAGATGCACACTACCGCACTTCTAATAGCAGCACCAGGAGAACACAATGCCGGTGTATATTTCCAATCTGCAAGCAATCTCATGCTCTACCTGCCACAGGTGAAAAAAGGGGATAGTCCAATCAATAGTGATGACTTCTACTGCTACCGATCACGAACGTTGCCAAATTTAACAACCGCACACTATGTCATTGCAGCCTTCATGCATCACTCCCGTGCCGTCGTCAATTTCCTGCAGGGACATGGGCCTGGAGATCCTCCGCCTTGCGCCTCGGGAGCCGCGCGTGTACGTACGAGTTGGGCCAAGCAATGCACACCTAAAGACAATCGTATCGTGATTACGTTGCCAGCGCGCTTGTTTCCTATTCTAGAGAGC